TGCATTTTGTGAAATCAGCTATTGCCCAGAATTATAAAAACAGTCTGTGTCCTCAGAGCAGAGACTGTGTTTGTAAGTGAGTATGGCAGGAGGGCCCCATAAATGGAAACAGATGTGTTCTCGAGCAGCGAGTCTTAGTCAGTGAAAATGTACACATAAAACAAATTGTTTAAATGTGTTATAAATCAGATATCAATGATTGTTGTATGATTATTACTTACAAAGTGATTAGGTGAGTAATTATAAGTGATTATATGTGATTAAAAGAACATGATTAAGTTGAACAGATTATGAGTCGATGAGCTGAAATGCTGAATTGTACAGCTGGCTGAAGTGAACAGAGTGTTCCAAGACCAAGTTGATCTGTAATAATAGGGTGGTGAGCTTAGAATAGAGTTCCATAAAAGGACAACACCCTTATTGCAAGAAGTTATTGGAAATGACCGTTCCGAGAAGTTAGCTTGCATGACAACTTAAAGGTCCAATCAGAGAGCTAAAGCAGATTCTGGAGGCAATATCTTAGAACATGTTCAGACTAGTTTGAACAGGTTTAGGCTAGGTTCAGCTATAAAAACAGATTGCAGTCACAGATTTCTGCTAAATAGTTCTGAGAACTGGAGGGACAGGATGGTATTGGACTTGCTCTTATAGCTACTGGAGAAGATTTGGACAACCCGAAAAGAACTCATTTTTTGTCAAGATAGGAGCATTTATTTTTGTTTCAGCCTGGGTTAAAGCCAATCCAGATCTTCCCCAAATCAGGACAGCTTTTTGGGCAAAGAGCACACTTTTCCAGGGCTCTGGGAAAGAGATTTCACTTGCCTTTAACCAAAGATTTCTTCAGACAAAGATATGGTAAGAGACGCCCTGATTTACCATTCCTTTATACATTTTATACAAAATAATAGCAACAATTCTAGTGACAAGTTAGGAAAGCGGACTAATATTATCAACATCCTTGGTCCTCTGATTCATGAAAGTCATCCAAGAAATGTGTTCTAATGAGATCAATAACGATAGTTGGGAGAGATTTCTCGTAAGTTGGTAGAGGAGTTTTAGGAGTTCTTAGGGGTTTTAGCATAATCTAGGGTTCTAGGGCGTAGCCAAGCTCAAAAGGAAGGGAAGGCTTTCCCTCAATGCCTCACAAGAGCCTCAAGGACTCATAAATCCCTATCTCAGCTCATCGGAGCAAGGAAATCACCACTTTAGTGGACTTCCAATCCTTTGGACACAAAAAATCAATTAACAGGATCCTCCCTCAAGCAATGTATAGACTCTTTATTACTGATTTCACTATATAACCAAATGTAATCATTTTTTAATTGTACATAATACTGTTCCCTTGCAAATCATTAATTAAAGCAAAGCATAAAACGTAAAATCTGGACTATCATTTCCTCACTTCGTGTTCATGGATTTAAAAAGATTGGTTCAATTATAATTAAAGAAGGAGGTTTTTAAAGGTTTCCTCAGCTGTGAGTAATTAAACAACATCCTAGAATCTTATCCCTAGATTATAAAAAGAACCAGATCAGTAAGAATAGCCATTCTGCAACGACGGTGAATGGCCGTTAATGTGAGTTTCCCTGTGGACAACAATCCAACTCCAGATGCTAGGTTGAGCGAGTCACGGGGTGAAATAAGGGTGTGGCTCACAGATGAAGGTCGTTAACAAATCTGGGTGAGTCACCTTCAACACAGCCTAAGAAGAACTAGTCTGTAGTACCTCTGGGTATTGCCCAAGCGTAGGTTTAGCTCATTATACCCCTTAGAGTAGAGGCTGCAGTGGGATTTAGCCATAACTCAGATGGTAACTCCATTGGGTAGATCTAGACATCCTTTTGGCCAGTGGTTGTTTAGTTTCACCAATGTAAGACTGATCACAGCCCTCCTGACATTGAACAGCATATACAAAATCACTCTATTTGTTTCGGGGGACTCAATCTTTGGGATGAACCAATCTTTGCCGTAATGTATTTGGGGCTTAAAAGCCACTGGGACGTTATGTTTAGAAAATAAACGTCTCAATTTCTCTGGAAGTCCTGCAACACATGGAATGACCACTGATCTGGGTTCCTCCTTTTCACCTGATGGCTGGCTGGAGTCCTGTTTGTTTTTTTCCTCTGCTTTCAGGAAGGCCAAGTTAGGATATCCACATTGCTCTAGAGCCTGTCTTGTGTGAGATTTCTCCTTTTGCCTGGATCTTGAGTTAGTCGGGATGTTGTCTGCTCTGTGGTACAGAGTCCTGATGACTCCTAACTTGTGCTCCAAAGGGTAATGGGAGTCAAACTGCAAAAGCTGGTCTGTGTGGGTGGGTTTGTGGTACACCTCAGTTTTCAAATGTCCTATATCAGAAACTGAGACCGCACAATCCAAGAAAGCCAACCTGCCATTTTTTTACATCTTCTCGTGTGAACTTTATATATTTATCCACAGAGTTGATGTGATCAGTGAAATGTTGGACGTCCTGAGATTTAATTAAAATTAAATCTCATGAGGTGTCATCAACATACCTGAACCAATGACTCGGTGGTATCCCTGAAAAGGACGTCAAGGCTCTCTTTTCTAACTCTTCCATGTACAGGTTGGCAACAACAGGAAAAACTGGATAACACATAGTACACCCATGTTTCTGCCTATAATACTGTGAAGCAGAACAACTCAGAATCAAAATTTCAGCCTGTCTCAACAATGCCAAACCACCACCTTCCAACGTCAGTAGAGATGAGAGTGATGCACTCACCAGTCTTAGCAAGGACAAAAACATCATCATTCTCCCAGCAGACAAAGGAAGGTGCACAGTGATTTTGAACCAGAAAGACTATCATGAGAAAGTTATGATGCTCCTTAATGACTTAACCTCTTATGAGCCACTGAAAAGAGATCTAGGAAGTGGTTACAAGAAGAAGTTGATAGATTGCCTGAAAATTTTGGATAAGGACAGGGCTATTGACCGAATTCTGTATTACAGACTGTACCCAGGGGAGTCCACACCTAGTCTGTATGGTTTACTTAAAATTCACAAACAAGGTGTACCTTTAAGACCAATTGTTAGCATGATTAAATCTGTTACTTAAAATGTTTCCAAATATCTGGCATCTGTACTCATCCCTTTAGTTGGCAGCTCAGAACACCACATACAGAACACCATGGACTTTGTGGATAAGGTGAGGGACGTCATCATGGAGACTGATGAAACAATGGTCTCTTTTGATGTCACATCACTCTTTACGTGCATTCCTGTTGATGATGCAGTAGAGGTGGTCAGTTTAAGATTAAAATCAGACACCACTCTGAGCAGCAGGACCACACTTTCCACAGAACAACTGTGTCAACTCTTGAAATTGTGCCTGCAGTCAACCTACTTCACATATGGGGAGCAATATTATAGGCAGAAACATGGGTGTGCTATGGGGTCTCCAGTTTCTCCTATTGTTGCCAACCTGTACATGGAGGAGGTAGAAAAGAGAGCCTTGACGTCCTTTTCAGGGACACCACCAAGTCATTGGTTCAGGTATGTTGATGACACCTGGGTTAAAATTAAATCTCAGTAAGTCCAGTCTCTGTGCAGCGCAGGACTCCAAGTAAAGCAAGAGATAACCAAATATTTTGCTTGTGCCCTCACTGCCCTGGGCCCCTGGGCACTTGTCCAGTTGCCCATATGGTTAATCTGGCCTTGATGATGGGTTCATCATGCAGTCTGAGGAAAGGTCTGAGAATGAGGGAGTGGAGGATGAGGAGGAGAGTGTAAGTGTATGAAAGGTGAAATTATATAGATTCTCAATCTTAATAATGATCATGCCTTTAATAATCCCATTTAATTGATAATACTGATGAACCTGTTGTTTGTTTAGGAGCCGCCTCCCTGCAATCTGTCCAGAAAGTCTCCACTGGAGGAGCTTTTTGCTGAGGAAGAGGCACAGGACGCAATGTCACAGCTCCATGCCCATGAAGAAACAAGTGGAGAGAGGGCTGCAGATGTACCAGGACATTCCACCAGACGTTCTGTCTGAGGACCTGCTGCTGGTGGTGGAACCAACACAAGACTTATCCTTTTCTGTTGGATCTTGTATTCTCATATTTAAACAAACATGTGTTCTCCACTGCAGGAGACACGGTCTGTCCAGAACGCTCGCACATACTGCCTGAGAAGCAGATATGATCATTTTCCTCAACAAGAACCGTTTCTGATTTTATACTGTACCTGCTGCTAATCTGGACTGAATTGTACAATTTGTTCTTTTTTGTTTGGTATTCTGCAGCAGGTTAGCCCATCAGTGAGAGCTCTGACTGCAGCATCAAACACTGGACATGTGGAAATATGTTTTCATGAAGTTTTCAAAAATAAAATTCTTGTTAAAATGTACCCAAGAGAAAAGAAAATTCATAACACATTAAAGTTCATAAGTTTGATATTTATTTACTGTTTGAAAATAGCTCTGTGAGAAATTCATAGTAAATTTAACAAAAAGTAAAAAGTTCATAGAATTAAAATTCAAATAGAAGTTCAAATTATTTCACCGTATTCTGGCTTGCAAGTTAATTTATAACGGGACTTTTTTTTTTAAAACCCCACCTCTAAAAAGAATCAGAATTGAGAATCAATAGGAACCGGAATCGAAACGAAGAATCGGAACCGGAATCGTTCAAATTCAAACGACGCCCAACCCTAGCTGTAACTAACTTTTCCTGCTTTGATTGAATACACTTGGCAAACTGAATTAACTTTTCCTTGATTTATTGAGATAGAGTGAGTTACTACTTCTGAAGAAGGAGTCTGAACCGGAAGCCTTCTGAGCTGGAGGTGAGCCAAAGGTCCGAGATAAGACCTGAAGGCTGCAACAGCTACCTTTCTGCTAGCTTTAGCCTCCAGCTACTGTTTGACTTGATAAAATCTTACAGTTATCTTCCATCCTGTTAAAACTGTTGAGTAATAATAATTTTCTACAAACATAAAATAAACCATATTTTTAATCAAATGTTCAGAAACAAACAGGAACCTGTAGAGGATGGCCTCCTGGAAGAGCTGCATCCTGTCCCAGTAGGTCTCTGGTTCAAAGCCTGAAGACATGGAGACATGTTGAAGTAGGAGGTTAGATGAGCTGTTGGAGACAAGTCCTCAGAGGACCATTGTACCTTCAAACAGGTTGTCGCTGCCATTCTTCAGCACACTCTGGATGTTGAGGGGGATGAAGAGCTGGGCTCTCAGCGGGTCTCCATACAAATGAGACGTCAGAGCAAACGGGAACTCCAGCACAGGGACCAGGAGAAAACCACAAGAGGCCGCCTTCCTGTGCCACCCTTGGACCTGACGAAAAATTGTGTTTTTTATTTTACCACAGGATGACAGAGAAATGAAATACAGCATTAATGATTCTTTTTCTTTTGGCTTTTCCCTCTTCAGGGGTCTCCACAGTGAGTCCTCCTCCTCCACCTCACTCTGTCCTCTGCATCCTGTGTACTAACTCCAACTACCTCCATGTCCTCTCTAATTGCATCATAGATCTCCTCTTTGTCTTTTTCCTGGCAGCTGCATTTCTAACATCCTTCTACCAATATACCCACTGTTCCTCCTCTGGACATGCCCAAACCATCTCAGTCTGGCCTCCCTAACTTTATCTCCCAGTTGTTCAACCTGTGCTGTACCTCTGATGATCTCATTCCAAATCTTATCAGAGTCAGAATCAGAATCAGAATGCCTTTATTGTCATTATACGCAGTACAATGAAATTAAGAGCCACTCCTTTTTCCAGTGCAAAAACATGCCTTAAGAAAACACACATTAAACACACACTAAAAATATAAAAAATGTAACGCAATATAGATATAATAATGAAAGTAAAAAATACAAGTATTACACAATTGTATTGCACATTGTGGATATTAGTGAGGTAGTTAAGGTGACTGAGGGTATGAAATGTCAGTAGTTTTGCACAGTAGAAGTCCAGGGGGTTGGGAGGTTATATTATTAAATCAGTGCATGTGTGAGTTTAGTGTGGTAATGGCTTTCGGGAAAAAACTGTTCTTGAACCTGTTTGTTCTTGTTCTGATGCACCTGTAGTGTTTCCCTGAAGGTAACAAGTCAAACAGTTCAAAACCCGGGTGTGAACAGTCCATGATTATGCTTTCTGCTCTGTTGAGGCAGCGTGATGTGTAAATGTCCATCAGGGAGGGGAGAGGGCAGCCAGTTATCTTTTGTGCTGTCTTGACTACTCTCTGAAGCCTCTCCCTGTCAGCCAGGGTGCAGCTGCCATACCATACTGAGATGCAGTATGTCAGCAGGCTCTCGATGGACGAGTGGTAGAAGGTCAGCAGCAGTTTTGTGTTCAGGTTGTGCTTCTTAAGGACTCTTAAGAAGTGTAGTCTCTACTGAGCCTTCTTGATGACCGCTGTGGTGTTCTCTTTCCAGTTTAGGTCAGCAGAGATATGGACACCAAGAAATCTGAAAGTGTGAACCCTCTCCACGCACTCGCCGTTGATTTAAAGGGGGGCTAGGTTGGTGCTGTGCTTCCTGAAATCAATAATCACCTCCTTGGTTTTTTTGATATTCAGAGCCAGATTTTTCTCTGAGCACCAGGTTGCTAGCTCCTGGACCTCCTGTCTGTAAAATGTCTCATCTCCCCTTGAGATTAGTCCGACCACTGTGGTGTCATCAGCGAACTTGACGATGAGGTTGTTGTTGTGGGCCGGGCTGCAGTCATGGGTGTAGAGACAGTACAGCAGGGGGCTCAGCACACAGCCCTGTGGGGAGCCAGTGCTCAGCATATGAGTGGAGGAGAGGTGGGGACCAAGTCTTACAGATTGGGGCCGATTGGTTAGGAAGTCTTTTATCCAGGCACATGTGAGTGGGGGGAGGCCGAGATTGTCCAATGTATTTATAAGAATGTCCGGAATGATTGTGTTAAAGGCCGAGCTGTAATCCACAAAGAGCATTCGAACGTAGCTGTGCTGTTGTTCCAGGTGGCTCAGCGCGGTGTGGAGAGCTACTGCAATAGCATCCTCTGTGGACCTGTTGGTGCGATATGCAAACTGGTAGGGGTCAAAGTTCGGAGGGAGATAGTCCATGATGTGCTGGAGAACCAGTCTCTCGAAGCACTTCATGATTACCGGGGTGAGAGCCACCGGTCGGTAATCATTCAGGCTGGTGATGGTAGGCGTTTTCGGCACTGGGATGATGGTTGCAGATTTTAAGCAGGGAGGGATGACTGCCTGGGCCAGGGAGAGATTGAAAATTCTGGTGAAGGTGGGGGCAAGCTGGAGGGCACATGCTTTGAGCACCCTGCCAGGTACTCCATCTGGGGCAGTAGCTTTCCTGGGGTTCACTGATTGGAGGGAACGTCTAACATCATGCTCCCGTACAGTGAGCAGTACTGGGAGTACTGCACCCCACCCGGTTACCAGTAACCGGGTGGGTGTGGGAGCAGGGCAGGATCAGATGGGTGCTGCTGTGGTGCATCAAAGCGTGCAAAGAAGCAGTTTAGCTCCTCTGCTAGTGATGCACTCAGGTCTCCTGTTGTCACCTCACAGCCGGCGTCCATCCATTATCCATCCTTGTTACTCCTAAGGAGAACCTTAGGAGTAACAAGGACACTCCTAAGGAGAACCTTAGGAGTGTCTCCTGTCTTATTGCCCATGTCTCTGTCTCCAGACCATACAACATAGCTGGACTCACCACTGTCTTGTAAACTTTTCCTTTGACATTTGCTGACACCCTTTTGTCACAACTCACTCCTGAAACTTTTCTCCATCCACTACATCCTGCCTGGACTCTCTTCTTCACCTCTTTACCACACTCCTAATTTGCTTGGACAGTGGATCTCCCTGCACCTTTTGTGACCTCTGTTCTTCAGCTGATCCAAAATGCTGCTGCCAGAGTCTTAACTGGAGTTAGTGGGAGAGATCATATTTCTCCAGTTTTAGTTTTTCTCCATTGGCTCCCTGTCAAATTCAGAATTTAATTCAAAATCTTACTTCTAACCTACAAAGCTCTCAAACACATAGCTCTATCTTATATTCCAGATCTTATTGTTTCATATTCTTCTAACAGAGCACGTCATTCTCAGACTGTAGGTTTACTCATGGTTCCTAGAGTTTCCAAAAGCAGAATGGGAGTAAGATCTTTCAGTTCTCAGGCTCCTCTCTTGTGGAACCAACTTCCAGTTTCTGTCCGTGAGGCTGACACGTTATCCAGTTTTAAGAATGGGATTAAGACTTTCCTTTTTGATAAATCCTATAGTTAGGTTGGCTTGTTATACTGTCATAGACTTAAACTACTAGAGGACAAATTGAACTTGTTTCCTTTAATGAATTGTTAAAACTGAATAGTTTTCATTTGATACTATTTCTATCTTAACGTGATTCGTGACCTGCCATTGTGTATCTGTTCCTACCAAACCCAGCCAGTCGAAGCAGATGGTCCGCTTGGCCTGATCCTGGTTCTGCTAAAGGTTTCTTCCTCATGAGGGAGTTTTTCTTTCCACTGTCGCCTTCATGCTTGATCAAGATGAGAGTTCAGTGATGGAGTTAAACTCAAAGCTGCTCCTCAGATAAATAATGTTCAATTTTTATTTTTAAATATGAATGTATCTGTTCAGTCCCTGAGACGACTTCTGTCGTGACTTGGTGCTATATAAATAAAATGAATTGAAATTGATCCTTGTAGTCTCACTGTTCCACTGGCCTTCCTTTCTTTCACACACATGTCAAATGCCTTAAATCGTGTCCTGATTAGGACAAGATGAGATATTTTTTGTAATACCGCTATTCTATCCTCATGGCCTTTTCCTCTTTTCAATCTAAAAAGTATTCTGAAAAAGGATAAAGGGCCACGCTCTCAGGAGCAGCAGCAATGTGAACTCCGCCCATCTTTCGGGCAACTGTATGAACATAATCTCACTGTATCCCGGTACAATGATAATAAAGCTTATTCTGGTTCTGATGTACTCTGTTTTACTACAGCTGACTTTCATTTATCTTTTTTCAAGTGCATACCTCCACCTCTCCAAGTTTTCTTCCACCTGCTCCCTGTTCTCACCACAGATCACAATGTCATCTGCAAACATCATAGTCCACAGGGATTCCTGCCTGACCTAATCTGTTAGTCGGTCCATCACCAGAACAAACAAGAAGGGGCTAAGAGCCAATCCTTGATGATTGGCACTATATAAATAAACTGAATTGAATTGATCAGTTAACACTAAATTATTTTATACAAAGTGTTTATTAGGTTGTGTAATGTAAAGCAGAGCACAACGGCTGTAGCATCTTAGCTAGAGCGTCTGCATTGCATGCTGCTAGCTTAGTGCTACTTCTTGCTGTGCCAAGCTCTCTAAAATAGTTATTGAATCAAGTGTTTACTTATGGAAGTAAACATAGTTGTTTGTATTTTCCTGCTTGCTCTCGACGAGGATGGACGCTTTTCCCTCCTGCTCCTGCCTCCCTCGTTGAGGTCATTTTTTTGCAACTTTTGCATTGTGTACCGTCTAGGACACAGTGCGAGATTTGATTTTTTTTTTACACCTCCTCTCCCCCTCATGTTTCTTTTTTCTTGTCTGAAATAAGGGCTGCACCTCTTGAGGCCAGTGGCCTCAGTCACCTCTGTCTCCCCATGTATGTTTGTTTATGTTACTCTTGGACGGGCTGTACTGAAACGTAATTTCGTTGTGCTTCGGTGCAATGACAAAAAAACTGATTCTGATGCTAACAACCCATTAAAATACACCAGAATACAGGAAATGGCATCTACTATATTCAAAGTGTTCTGGGGGAGGACTCCTAGACTCACCAGTGTGTTGACCCACATTATGAATGCTTCTGATGCAAATGGCCACCACGCTGTTCAAGCCAAGAGCCATTGTCAGCACTGAGGGCTAAGCACCCCTAAAGGTCAGATTCTAGAATTGCCCCTGGTCCTCACCCATGTCTTGTCTTCCTAATGTAACACTACAGCTCCTCCCTTGTCAGTCTGTCATGTACTTTTCTAAATCCACAATTCACTTCTGGCTAAAATAATTAAACAAAAATTTTGTTTCATTGTTTAATAACTTTTTGGCACTGAACAACACCCTTGACGTCTTCCACTCGAGTTTTTGTTCTCATCACAGCACTGAGACACTGACCAAAGGTCAGAATGGGACTCATTTTCAGCCCTGGAGTTTCAGCCTCAGAGTGGCCCACTTTAGATCACGACCTATTATTATTAAAATCATGTAATTATAACCTTAAACCAAGGGTGATTCTAGAATATGCCATTTTGATGATGTGGTCTTTTTTGGTAAGCACTTTGATAACAGTTACTGTTTTAAATGT